CTCAAGGCCTCCTCTTATTTATGACACTAGACGAACCCCGCGTTGTGCAGAAATAAAACTATTGTAATTAAAGTTTTGAAAAATATATTACGTTGATTACAATAATATAATTAAATTATTGATACATATATGATATTATAAATAATTGTATCCTTGTTATTAATTTAGAGTTTATAGTTTTTTATACTAATTTGTTATAACACATTATAAATATTTTAAATATATGATAAAATAGATACATATTAAAACCACGTCGTCTCAATAGACATTACCCGTAAATTTCATACGAAAATAAAAATAAATTGATTTTTTTATTTTTAGCAATTTAACCATTTTCAGATATATAATTTTTTGTGATCATATCAATTTAATGGAATGTAAACAAGTTTTGTGTGGATTTTCAATTTCAATTTAGTTGAGATATTTAATATTATATTTTAAAAAGTTATTTTTAAATCATTAGAGACCAAATTTCTTTTTTTAAAAAAATATTATTTTAGAAAATAGTTTTTCAACATTTTGTTTTGTTAATTTTATATTTAATTTTAAGTTTTATATATAGATAAAACAATATAATAATTATAATTAACATCAATGAATTGATTAAGTATCCATATTTAAAAAGTTTTTTTTAACATTAATAAATTAATTAATGATGGATACTTAGAAAGTCTTTTGATTTTAAATAGTAAGTGTAACACCCCGTTTATTTAATAAATAAATGGGCAAAATTAACGAATGAATTGTAGCCTTAAAATTAATAATTATATAGCAATGTGTTGGTTTTGGGAAGCCAAATGCCATAAGTTGGATTATTCGGGGGTCAAAGTATAAATTCAAGATTTATTTTGTAAAGATTTTAGAAGATATAGGGATATTTGGTAAGTATTAGACCTAATATGAAAGGAATTTTGAAAATAAGGGCTAAAAAGTAAATTCCGGACCAAATTTGAAAAGGATTTGTAGAGGGAGGGGCTGTTTTGTAAAACTCAAACTTAATTTGTAAAGGGATTATAGAAGCGTGGTTCAAATGGTATATATTGGATTAAATTCGAAAACAAAAGTATGAGGAGGGGCTGAAGCTGGGTTTTTGGATCAAAGTTTAGAGGAACACAAGATATACTCGGTAACCTCTTACCCCATTGTTACATTGCCAAAGAACCCTAAACCTAACGTTATTTCTTCTAGCCTCCATGAGGGACTCTTGCCGCAAACCTCGTTCCTCCATATGCCCAGCCATCACCTCCTCGCCACCACTGAAGGATCATCGGAGCAGCCACCATGTTCTGTTGCCGGCAAAGACGAAGAAGGCATGAAAAGATCGGGAAACGTGGTTTGTGGGTGCTTTTGCGATTCATGGGTGGGTCGCACACTCTCTCTTCACGCCTCTTCTGTTGCTTCCCCAACCTACACTGCC